AAAGCTCTTAGAAGGAATTCGTAGAGCTATAAAAGCGAAGAGGAAAGCAGCAGCGAGAGAGGCGGCGGCTGGAGCACGTGACGCCATCACACTCCTCTTAAGACCAAACATTGTTCACTGCTAGTGAACTAATGGATTTTTTCAGACGTAGAATCGTCTGGTGGAGGACATTAGATGATCATTGATGTCCTTACCAACACCTACTCAAAGGTATGTAATTCATGTGATTTTCTTGTATATTTGTATGTGTATAAATATGACATACTTGTAATTACATGTATCTGTGTATATAATCACTGGCAATACGATTTTGAGAATGTATTTCCTTCTTTTCAGGTTGGCATGCATGGAGCATTGTGATTGGCCGATCTCCAGGGAACTTCAGGATGCAGGGATCTGCATGGAACTTCAGGGATATACTCTATACACTTGTTTCTACTATCAATAAACATAAGAAGGCACCATGAGATTTTTACCCAGATATAGTAAGCCCTAATATATTTCTTCATTTATCTCGGAAGTGCATTATTTTCATATATCTAACAGTATCTCAGTTATTTATGAACCGATCTTCATTATTTTCACACTGCTTATTCAGGGGACATTATTCTACAAGCAAATGGACTCCCTTTGGGTAATCATCCCTTCCATTTTGGCATACCATGGGTATGGAATGCAAGAATGGTGTTAAAACATGTCAAGACATAATTACTATTTTTTTTTTGGTTACTAATAAGTGCATAATACATAAAGGAATCCATTAGAAAATCAATATGGCATTGCTTTATCATTGTAGGTATCAAAAACAATTCGACATTGCCACTACATAACGGTGCCATAAATGTTGCCATGTCCAAATGCTAATATTTATTTTTTTATCATTATTTATTGGACGATCTTGATGCAACTTATACTGCATAAACTATGGCATGCCCTAGAGTCTATGGTAAAAATTTCAGTTAAATCGCATGAAGGGGAAAAAAGTCGTATAGTGAACGTATAGTCTCCCGGGAAGCTAGATAAACTCTGGAAGTCATAGCAGGAGAATGAAATAAGTCTTTGAGCTTATCACTCCTCGAATGAGCCAAGCATTAGAGGCGACATCTCTAGTGTTCTCACTGGACACCTAATATTTTGTGACCTTCGCGTAGTGGTGGAGAGTATCAAGGCTGAGGGAATGAACAATTTCCAACGAGGCCGAGGAACTGAACAACCTCAGTATTCGACTAAAGAAATTTGCTGCGATACATTTCAACAATAAAGACACCTATGTGTTGCACATTATCTTGTTCTTCCACAGTATGAGACTGTTGCGGTGAGTGTTGCTTCCCTTAATTAACATAGTATGAGGCAGTGTTGCGATGAGTGTTGCTTCCCTTGACACAGTATGAGGCAGTGTTGCAGTGAGTGTTGCTTCGGTTGACACAGTATGAGGCAGTGTTGCGGTGAATTAATGGTTAGCAGACAGCAGACTATAATTATTGCCGCGGGAAAATATTTGATTACAATGAGAAACATAAAAACACGACGAAACAGTAAGATCCAGCCCGTCTCACTGATCCAGCCCGTCTCACTGATCCAGCCCGTCACACTGATCCAGCCCGTCACACTGATCCAGCCCGTCTCACTGATCCACCCCGTCTCACTGATCCACTTGTAGAACCAATTTCTAAAGCTACCTGAAGATGGTTTGAATAATATTTAAGGACAATCCTGTTGATTGGCTACAGAATGGCAGGTTGACACCATAGACGAGTTATCACTTTCAATTTATGCTATATCCAGCACCTGCAAAACAGTTCCTTGTTAGATAAAAAGACACATGCTCAGTTAACGTGGAATTTTATTGTGCAACGTTTCGCTCTGCAGAGTTTTGTAAGTTTGTTACAAACAATATAGTGATACAGAGTCAACATATAGGTAATGATACCATATTAAAAATTATTAGCACTGAAGAACCCTAACTGGCCCGTGCTAAAGTATTAGTAGTGTGTGTGTTGTGTTTGTGTTTACTCACCTATTTGTATTCACCTATTTGTGGTTGCAGGGGTCAAATTACAGCTCCTGGTCCTGCCTCTTCACTAGTCGTTACTGAGTCCATTCCCTCCCTGCTCCATGAGCTTTATCGTATCTCTTCTTCCTCTTCTGCCTCCACTACGTCACTCTCCAGATTGTTTCAATTTCTGACAACTCTATGGCTGAAAAAATATTTCCTAACATCTCTGTGGCTCATCTGAGTCTTTAGCTGGAACATCCTGTCTCTGTCCATCTTGTCGATTCCTCTCTGTATTTTATATGTCGTTATAATGACCCCCCCTCCCTGTCCCTCCTGTCCTCCAGTGTCGTCAGGTCGATTTGTCTTAACCTATTCTTGTAGGACATACGGCTTAACTCCGGGGACTAGTCTCGTTGCAAACCTTTGCACTTTCTCTAATTTCCTGACGTGCTTGGTCAGTTCCGAGTTCCAAACTGGTGCTGTATACTCCAATATGGGCCTGATGTACGCGGTGTACACGGTCCTGAACGACTCTTACTGAGATGTCGTAGGAGATGTGTTCGGTGTTATACTCACCCTCTGTGTGTGTGTGTGTGTGTGGTGTGTGTGTGTGTGTGTGTGTGTGTGCTTGGTCTCGGTGGCCTAGAAAAAATATGAGTGTGAATGAGCTGCGTTGCAGGTTCTGATACTCTTACAAGTTTGCATCTTGAGTTATTGGACTACTTACCAGTGCTAACTTACAGATCCTCGCTATTTAAGTTTCGCAAAAGAGAAATTGAGTCTTGAGCTACCGAACAACAGAAACTGAAAATTCTGCTGAAACGTTCCATCTCTTTCCATATCTTTCGGAAACAGAAGCCCTGAGCTTATATCGGAAGTTTGCCCGGGAACTCCAGAATTCTACAGTGTGTGTCGACCTAATTACACGGTACCATAAGCACGGTGATACTAAATTCATAAACTCTATATATTTTGCGAGGTGGTGTATATTTTCTGGGTGTTATACATTTTATATTTTGCTTAGTGGTATTTCCTTTTCGGTTTTCTTGGTGGTAATCTTCTATACGAGTTGATCTTCAGCATTTCCTCAATACTGTAACTGAGATCTTCTCTATATTTTCATGGAAGAAACATTCTCTGCGTAAATTTCAAAGTTAACATTCTCTGTATGTTCCAATGTAAAAAAGATAAATTAAAACAAATCAACTTACCTCTGTGCTAACTTAAGAGTGCTGACGGAGGCTGACCTCTGGTAAGATGACTGGGTGCTGACGGAGGCTGACCTCTGGTAAGATGACTGCTTGAAAACCATGGAATTTAACATCAAGTTGACTCCCAGCACTATAGTTGACGTACGAAGTGGCTGGTGTCAAGGCTGTGGAAGGTGTGACGCAGGAAGGGGCTGGTGTCAAGGCTGTGGAAGGTGTGACGCAGGAAGGGGCTGGTGTCAAGGCTGTGGAAGGTGTGACGCAGGAAGGTGCTGGTGTCAAGGCTGTGGAAGGTGTGACGCAGGAAGGGGCTGGTGTCAAGCTGTGGAAGGTGTGACGCAGGAAGGGGCTGGTGTCAAGGCTGTGGAAGGTGTGACGCACGAAGGGGCTGGTGTCAAGGCTGTGGAAGGTGTGACGCAGGAAGGGGCTGGTGTCAAGGCTGTGGAAGGTGTGACGCAGGAAGGGGCTGGTGTCAAGGCTGTGGAAGGTGTGACGTAGGAAGTGGCTGGTGTCAAGGCTGTGGAAGGTGTGACGCAGGAAGGGGCTGGTGTCAAGGCTGTGGAAGGTGTGACGCAGGAAGGGGCTGGTGTCAAGGCTGTGGAAGGTGTGACGCAGGAAGGGGCTGGTGTCAAGGCTGTGGAAGGTGTGTGACGCAGGAAGGGGCTGGTGTCAAGGCTGTGGAAGGTGTGACGCAGAAGGGGCTGGTGTCAAGGCTGTGGAAGGTGTGACGCAGGAAGGGTGGTGTCAAGGCTGTGGAAGGTGTGACGCAGGAAGGGGCTGGTGTCAAGGCTGTGGAAGGTGTGACGTAGGAAGTGGCTGGTGTCAGGCTGTGGAAGGTGTGACGCAGGAAGGGCTGGTGTCAAGGCTGTGGAAGGTGTGACGCAGGAAGGGGCTGGTGTCAAGGCTGTGGAAGGTGGACGCAGGAAGGGGCTGGTGTCAAGGCTGTGGAAGGTGTGACGCAGGAAGGGGCTGGTGGTCAAGGCTGTGGAAGGTGTGACGCAGGAAGGTGCTGGTGTCAAGGTGTGGAAGGTGTGACGCAGGAAGGGGCTGGTGTCAAGGCTGTGGAAGGTGTGACGCAGGAAGGGGCTGGTGTCAAGGCTGTGGAAGGTGTGACGCACGAAGGGGCTGGTGTCAAGGCTGTGGAAGGTGTGACGCAGGAAGGGGCTGGTGTCAAGGCTGTGGAAGGTGTGACGCAGGAAGGGGCTGGTGTCAAGGCTGTGGAAGGTGTGACGCAGGAAGGTGCTGGTGTCAAGGCTGTGGAAGGTGTGACGCAGGAAGGGGCTGGTGTCAAGGCTGTGGAAGGTGTGACGCACGAAGGGGCTGGTGTCAAGGCTGTGGAAGGTGTGACGCAGGAAGGGGCTGGTGTCAAGGCTGTGGAAGTGAGACGCACGAAGGGGCTGGTGTCCAGGCTGTGGAAGGCGTGTGACGTACGAAGGGGCTGGTGTTAAGGCTGTGGAAGGTGTGACGCATGAAGGGGCTGGTGTCAAGGCTGTGGAAGGTGTGACGCACGAAGGGCCTGGTGTCAAGGCTGTGGAAGGTGTGACGCACGAAGGGGCTGGTGTCAAGGCTGTGGAAGGTGTGGCGCACGAAGGGGCTGGTGTCCAGGCTGTGGAAGGTGTGACGCACGAAGGGGCTGGTGTCAAGGCTGTGGAAGGTGAGACGCACGAAGGGGCTGGTGTCCAGGCTGTGGAAGGTGTGACGTACGAAGGGGCTGGTGTTAAGGCTGTGGAAGGTGTGACGCACGAAGGGGCTGGTGTCAAGGTCTGTGGAAGGTGTGACGCACGAAGGGGCTGGTATTAAGGGCTGTGGAAGGTGGGACGCACGAATGGGCTGGTGTCAAGGCTGTGGAAGGTGTGACGCACGAAGGGGCTGGTGTCAAGGCTGTGGAAGGGGTGACGCACGAATGGGCTGGTGTCAAGGCTGTGGAAGGTGTGACGCACGAAGGGGCTGGTGTCAAGGCTGTGGAAGGTGTGACGCACGAAGGGGCTGGTGTCCAGGCTGTGGAAGGTGTGACGCACGAAGGGGCTGGTGTCAAGGCTGTGGAAGGTGTGACGCACGAAGGGGCTGGTGTCAAGGCTGTGGAAGATGTGACGCACGAAGGGGCTGGTGTCAAGGCTGTGGAAGGTGTGACGCACGAAGGGGCTGGTGTCAAGGCTGTGGAAGGTGTGACGATCGAAGGGGCTGGTGTCAAGGCTGTGGAAGGTGTGACGCACGAAGGGGCTGGTGTCAAGGCTGTGGAAAGTGTGACGCACGAAGGGGCTGGTGTCAAGGCTGTGGAAGGTGTGACGCACGAAGGGGCTGGTGTCAAGGCTGTGGAAGGTGTGACGCACGAAGGGGCTGGTGTCAAGGCTGTGGAAGGTGTGACGCACGAAGGGGCTGGTGTCAAGTCTGTGGAAGGTGTGACGCACGAAGGGGCTGGTGTCAAGGCTGTGGAAGGTGTGACGCACGAAGGGGCTGGTGTCAAGGCTGTGGAAGGTGTGACGCACGAAGGGGCTGGTTTCAAGGCTGTGGAAGGTGTGACGCACGAAGGGGCTGGTGTCAAGGCTGTGGAAGGTGTGACGCACGAAGGGGCTGGTGTCATGGCTGTGGAAGGTGTGACGCACGAAGGGGCTGGTGTCAAGGCTGTGGAAGGTGTGACGCAGGAAGGGGCTGGTGTCCAAGCTGGTGGAAGGTGTGATCTCACGAAGGGGCTGGTGTCAAGGCTGTGGAAGGTGTGACTCACGAAGGGGCTGGTGTCAAGGCTGTGGAAGGTGTGACGTAGGAAGTGGCTGGTGTCAAGACTGTGGGAAGGTGTGACGCAGGAAGGGGCTGGTGTCAAGGCTGTGGAAGGTGTGACGCAGGAAGGGGCTGGTGTCAAGGCTGTGGAAGGTGTGACGCAGGAAGGGGCTGGTGTCAAGGCTGTGGAAGGTGTGACGCAGGAAGGGGCTGTGGTCAAGGCTGTGGAAGGTGTGATGCAGGAAGGGGCTGGTGTCCAAGGCTGTGGAAGGTGTGATGCAGGAAGGGGCTGGTGTCAAGGCTGTGGAAGGTGTGACGCAGGAAGGGGCTGGTGTCAAGGCTGTGGAAGGTGTGACGCAGGAAGGGGCTGGTGTCAAGGCTGTGGAAGGTGTGACGCAGGAAGGGGCTGGTGTCCAGGCTGTTCCGATTTTTATTATAACTAAAGAGAGAGAAAGGTAGCAAACATGTTTTAAAAAGTATAAGGACTGTAAATTAAGTTGTGTATTTTTAGGATTTCACTGCAAATGTACAGAAAGGATGTAATACGAAGAATTGTTTCTGGTGTTCTATGATAATGTCTTTCACACAAGATGAATCAATGCAGTTATAATGGTCTACACCGCAGGATATGTCACACACTAATGTAAGAATTTACCTGAAGTACTGATCAGCAGTGTTTGACAGTTTTTACACAGAGAAATATTGATTTACATTTGGCATTTCTTACAATGATGCAATGGATTCTTTTAGAAGCAGAATTGTAGAAATGCAATCTTTTTAAGTTATCACACTCACTTGAATAACTCAATTCGGGAACCTTTTTCAGCTTCAGCCCAAATGTTGCCAACGTCACTTAGATCAATGCAGCTGATGATGACCACCAGCAGCACCCCGCCGAACACGAGTAGTGTCTGCATCACGTCTGTATACACCACGGCCTTCACGCTGCCCTGAGGTAACATGATAACATGAGCCTCCATCACACGCCTTCCTGAGGATAAACATGATAACATAAGTCTGCATAACTTAACGCCAATGTTGCAAATGTGTAGCCCCACACCACCTACTTACTATCTGTCCAGGTTGCACCATAATTTTGGAAGCCAACGGATCTGCATAGTTGAGGTGGCTGGGCATCCGGCTGTTGCAAGGTTTCTTTCTCTTTATAATATTATTTACCTCTTCATGTTTTATAATATTTCCCTCAGATCATCGGCAAGCAAGACCATGGTATCCGAATCGCTCTGCCGATTTATTGCCGCAGATACTCCTGTGCTCGGCGAGAATAGGAGTAGCAAGGAGAAGGGAAACACTAGTGCGAATGGTCTAAGGGCCGAGGAATGTGAAAAGGTAGGAAGTGAGGACAGCCAACAAGAAATGCCCCACATGAGCAGCTCTCACTGCTAGGAGACGAGGTCTGTCCTCCAATATACTCTGAAACAGTCCTGAGACTATGTTCTCCACTATTGGGCCATCCCAGTGTGACTGTAGTTGTTGGGGAGAGCAGGTTTCATTGCAGAGGCAGTTAGATTATCCCAGAGCCTAGATCCGTCAATGAACTTTTGGTCACGAACTCCAACATTGTCCCTAAGGTGTTTAGGGACAATCGCTTCAACAAGTTTACTCTGGATGCTACACATGAAGACAGGAAAACAGTGAGTGCAATCGGTGAACTCTTGCAGAAAACAACACCCATTCTGACTGGAAGTATAGCATAGTCCCACTGTCAGTCATCTAGAGTACGACTGGCGGTGCACATCTTAGGAAATATGTTAGCCTAGGCAGACTCAGGCATTTTGTGAGAAGATACAAGGCATCGTGGGTGTCTAGACTGCCTATTTGTTGTTCGTCCAACTCAAATCGTCTAGTTTCTACTCGAGAATTAAGTCAGTTTCTTCAGTTCCAAGAAGTGTTCAGGCAAGACACTGATGAGGTAGTGATTGATGCACCTGGTACTATGGATCTCACTGCATCGATCACTTGTTTACTGGCTGAGAGGATTTCACATTTGGATGAATTAAGGATGAATCCCATATTATGTCCCACTGTTATTACCTGAGCAAGATCTGCTTGAAGCGACTCCTTCGTGCCTGTCAGTGTACCATTATCCAGGAAGCAGGAGAACTGGATCAAGAGGATCCCCTTGCTCGACACCCTCCCATGAAGTGATTTCGCGCTCCCTAAACAGAAGCATCGATTTCTTGCTGTATTAACAGTTGATAATACCACGATTCTTTTCAGGAGTTTAAATGAATTCTTGAAATCTAATTTTACTACTGCATTGTTCTCAGGTAGGTTGCTGATACACGCTCTTGCTCCTAGAACCGCTGCGTCACTTCCTTGAGGGACCCCAAAGCCATGATCGTTTGGTTGAAGCATCATGGCCACCTCTGTGTGAAATACTTCGAGCATCAGCTTGGGAAACGAGGCGGCAAAGAATGTTGTCCACGGCAATTAGTTTATTTTTTTTCAACTTTTTAGAAGAACAGAGAGGTGCGCCAAAGAAAAAAAGTTTAGTTTTGCCAGGAATGAGACCAGCCAAAGATTTTTTACGTACCTCGTAATCTCTGATAGGAATATCTCTGCAATCTCCCCGAGAGCTGGAATCTTATTCCAGTTTAGCTCCTAATGTAGTCCTCAAATGGGAGCGGCAAATAATCTGTAAACGTCTGAGACTTGCACAAACAGTTGTTCCACAATGGGGCACAGGCGTTAGAACTGCTGGTGTCCCTAGTTTCCCAGGCAGAGCGCATTTTCGCTAAGTGCTTGTAAAGTGTCAGCATCTCTGTGGGAAACTATATTTTGACGGCTGATTATCCTGATTGCCTTCACTGTGTTACTCCTCTTCAATTTTTGTTCCTCATCTAGATTCTGATTTTCTCACTCTCAGTGGATCTATTAGGGTGGGTCTGTCTCTCCAATTTTTATGTTGCTGAGGAAGACAAATGAAGTTGTCAGCACTGGGAAAATCTCTTAAAATGGGACGAAACCAAAATGTTTGCCGATATCGATACCGATACCCAATTTTGGCCGATATTTTTCCTATATTTTTTTTAAACTGATAATTTTCAGTTATATCGAAGAAGAAACTGAATTATATTGCACTACATAACTTTAAGCTTTTACAACATCGTGATAACTGAAAAATAAGTTCTTTATCGTAATCACTGGAAATAAAATTATAGTTAAGAACTTGAGCACTTCTCTCCATTAATAAAATGAATTAACTGACAAAATTTTCATTATATAGTTTAAAAGTTTTTTTTATAAAAT